CTCCTCCAGTCTCCCTCCCAGTGCCCCCCGCTGCCGGCCCCAGTGGGAAGGCAGGGAAGGAAGCCTGGGAACTGCAGCGTGCAGGGTCAGCCTGCAGAGCAGGAGAAGGGCGAGGAATGGCACGTGCCTGGCACACGCAGAAATGACTCAGGCACGGAGGGGAGGGAAACAAGTTCCAGGCAATGGCAACGGCACGTGCAAAGGCCCTGTGGTGCACGTAGCATGCGTGGGGCCTCTTGACAAAGCCAAGGCACCAGGAGGGTGCGGGGAGCCGAGAGGTCTTGGGGTCTCCTGGCAACATGGCCAGAGGCCCAGCGAACGGGGTGTCTGGTCTCTAACCTGAGAGCTATGAAACCTGAGTTGGACTTGAAGCAAGAGGGAGACCACGACCAGGTTTGCATCTCCAAAAAGACCACGCTGGCTGCCGGGTTGTAGAGAGGGAGAAGGGCCCCCAGAGGGGAAGCCGGCTGGAGGCTGCTGCCGCCCTGCAGAGCCCTCCACCCCCAGCCTCCAGCCCAGGCCAGGGGGCCTCGGACACCCACAGAGCACGGAAGTGCCTGCTCCCCCGGGCCCCCCGCTTCCCTGGTCATCTGCTCCCCCCTCTAGACCGAATGCCTGACTCTGCCCCCCAGATGAGCCCACTCCTCCCACGCCCTGCCCTCCATAAGCGCCCCCAGCTGCCCACGCCCTGGTTGGGGGTGCCAGCCGCCGCGGCACCTGTCCACGGCTGTTTTTCACTTCTCCGGCGGCTCAGCTTTCCGCGCCGATAAATATTAATGGCCAGGCCGGGCCGGGGCCCCACAGAGAGATAGTCTTTCTGGACGTCGCGCCAGGGTGCCCAGCCCAAGTCACAGCAGGACGCCCAGGCCTGCCTCCCCGCCCCCCAGCCTGCGAGTACCCCTCCCCCCCGGCGGTGGGGGGGACAGGCCTGGGGGCCCCGGGTTAGACCGGCTTGGTTCTCTCTCAAGGCCACAGCGGGTCCTCCCTGGGCTCCTGGGGAGAAACGGGGTTGGGAAGAAGTTCTCGAACAGCCGAGCGAGGGCACCTTGGCCTCGCAGCCATAAATCACCGTGTCCCGAGGGGGGAAGGAGCTCCCTTCCCCTGCGGGGAGTCGGGAAGGCCAAGTTCCAGCCAGGTGTTGGGTGACCCTGGCCGAGTTCAGGGCTGTCCTGGGCCTTGGATCTTCCACCTGTCAAATGAAGGGGTCTCTGTCGGGACCTGGACTTCAGAAGGCGTGCACCCCCAAAGGCGGGAGCGGCTTCAGGGAGCTGGGCGGGGGCGAGAGAAATGCCCCTTCAGGCAGCGCTTGCTATGTGTGTGCGAGTGGCGTTTGGTCCCCTAAAGACATGGCAGGGTGGGGTGCAAGACCCTTCTCCACTCTCACACGGACCAAAGCAATGCGGCTTACGTTCGGCCACTCGCCTGGGGCCACGCAGAGAATACACGGCCGGGCTGGATTTCCACCTGAATCCCCAAACCTGGAGGAAAGCAGTGCAGTGCACGGGCTCGGAGCCGCACGGCCTGGGGCGTAATACCAGCTCCGTCAGTTAGAAGCTGTGTGATCCTGGGCAAGTGGCTTAGCCTCTCTGGGCGTCAGCATCCTCACCTATAAAGTGGAAATGATGCTTGTGTGTCTGCCTCATGGGGCACCGAAAAGACTAAACGGGCAACACACGCGGCCGTGGGGCGCAGCGCGGCCGGCTGAGGGCTTAGGGCGGCCGCGAGGAGGAGGTCTGCCTTGAAGACGCCTTGACCCCGGGAGAGGGTGGAGTCGGGACCTGACACCGTGTGCGACGCCGTGTGCGACCGGGGACTGTAAGCTGCTGTTCCTGGTGAGCGCTGCCCTCCAGACAGCTGGAATGTTCTAAATCATTCTGAGACCCGGGCAGATTGGAGTTTCCCCTTTTAGAGAGAGCCCTGCCTAAGTATTTCTGGCCTGTGAAAGGAACACAGTTTCAGGGCCAGAGCGGAGAGACCACGTGTGCTCGCGCCAGCCAACGGAAACACTGGCCACCGAGGCCTGCCCCTCCGGCGCTGGTGCGGGCTCCGTCCCGGCCGCTCGGAGGGCAGGGGGCGCCCTGCAAGGAGCGGGCCTGGGGGCCCGGCCGGTGGGTGGGTGGGCAGCTGGCGGGAGCGTCAGGAGGGGCTGAGGCTGAGAACTAGGGAAACCTGGGGCTGCCACTGGCCATCTGAATGTAATTTAAAACATCTTTTTTTTTTTTTTTTTTTTTTGAGACAGGGTCTCACATTGTTGCCCAGGTTACAGTGAGTGCCGTGGCGTCAGCCTAGCTCACAGCAACCTCAGACTCCTGGGGTCAAGCGATCCTCCTGCCTCAGCCTCCCGAGTAGCTGGGACTACAGGCATGCGCCACCACGCCTAACTAATTTTTTCTATATGTATTAGTTGGCCAATTAATTTATTTCTATTTATAGTAGAGACGGGGTCTCGCTCTTGCTCAGGCTGGTCTCGGACTCCTGACCTTGAGCGATCCGCCCGCCTCGGCCTCCCAGAGTGCCAGGATGACAGGCGTGAGCCACCGCGCCCGGTCTAAAACATAATATGCATTAAAGTCAAACATACACCTACCGATGGCTAGCCATTCTACTCCCAGGTATCCACCCCAAAGAAATGCACTGTGTGTTTCCAACAAAAGACACGCACTGGAATGTTCCGGAAAACACTCTGCATGGTAGCCCCAATGGAAACTACCAGAGCTCACCAAGGGTGGAATGGACAGGCAAATGATGGAATATTCACCCAACGGACTACTATGCAGCAATGAAAAAGAACAAAGTACTGGCCCATGCAGAATGAGGGAAGACGTGCTGTAGAGCGAAAAGCCAGACCCGGAGAAGACCCACGCTCTGCTTCTAGAAGCGCAAGAGCAGCCTGTGCTGACGCAGCCTGCAACACGGGAGGCCCGGACACGTTGTGCTCAGGGGGCGCGGCCAGCCACGAAAGACCACGTGGTGTTGATCCCGTGGACGCGGACTGCTCAGAACAGGCAAATCTGGAGAGGTGGAAAGTGGATTAAGGGCCGCCCGGGGCGGGGGTCCCGAGCAGCGGGAGGGATTGGGGTGGACAGCCACTAAACGGTATGAGGTTTCTTTTTGGGGTGATGAAAACGTTCTGAAATCGATTGTGGTGGTGGTTGCAAAACTCCGTAAATATACTAAAAGCCACCGAATCGTAGGCTTTAAGTGGGTGGATTGTGTGGCGTGTGAATTTTATCTCAGTAAAGCTGCTAAGAAAAACAGCACAGTCTGGGGTTAGAAGTCAGGACGCCTGGAGCCCCGGCGTTTCCCTGGGGGGCCGGGCAGTGGCTGGAAAGGGGCCACGGGGGGCTTCCGGGAGGCCGCACACGCCTCCTTCCTGGGTGCCGGTTACGCAGTCGTGTTCAGTTCGTGAAAGTTCAGCAAACGGCACTCACAGGACGCGGCACAGTTTTCTGGAGAGAGGTGATCCTTCCGTCCTTCCATAAAAGGTTTATAAAACACAACACGCAAGTTTAGCGTTAGACACACGCCTTGGTCCCACCGTGTGTCCCCACGCTCGAGCCCGGCAGCCACCCACCCACCCCCCGCATCAACCACAGGCCGGGGAGGCAGGCCGGCGGCCGGGCTTGGAACACGCTGCGGTGACTCAGAGGAGCAGCTGGAAAGAATCTGTGGCTGTTGACTTCCTCCCGCCAACCGGCTCGGGGACCTGCTGCGGCAGCCCGCGGAGGGGCTGGGGAGAGCCGGGCCGAAGGTGGCGGCCACGGGCGGGGCCGCGGGCAGGACTCAGAGGCGTGCAGTGTGGAGCCCTGACCATTGGCCTCCCTGGCGGTGCCCAGCGAGGGACAAGGCGGCCTTTATCAGGGAGGCCTGGGGAGGCGGGCCTGGCAGCACACGGCGGGCCGGTTAGAGCAGAGCAGGGTGCTGGGGCCAGACGCCTGGGGAGGAACCCAGCTCCATGACGCTGGGGACGTGAGTTCACCCCTCCAAGGCCTCAGTGGCCCCATCGGTAAAATCGTGTACCGCCAGTGCCTGCTTTTGAGGGCGCTGTGCGAACCGAGATAATGCTATCTGCATGGAACACAGTGCCTGGCATCTAGTGACCGCCGGTAGACGTAATATTAGCTGTTACCATTCTGAGCTGGGGGACGCACGCTGGTGCTTATTGAGTGCCTACTGTATATACCAGGCACCCTGAAGGCAGCTCCTGACTTGGTTGCTTTTGCTCCCACCCCTCACCCACACACCTATGCCCGACCCTCTCCGGAAACCTCCGTGGCTTGGAAGCTCGGGGACTGACCACAGAGACGGCTGCTGGGATTCGGTGCTGCAAATCAGGGGTCTGCCGAGGAGCCGCAGCAAGGGAGCCTTTGAATACCCTCAAGATTTATGCGGCCGGTTTGTCCCGCCATCCCCGGTGGCAGGTCAGCAGCGGTGATCGTTTATCAAAGGGGTTTTACGAGGCCCTGAAGTTCGCAGCAGAATCCTCAGATTTCAAGCTGGCCCGGCCTGGGCTGGGGGAGGGTAGCTCCTGCAGTGGGAGGCCGCGGGCTTTCCTCTCCCGGATTTTTTTGTCTGTTTGTTTCAGATTAAGGGGAGCAAGGACAGGTTTTAGGGCACCCGATTCTGTTGTGTACATTTGCAAATTTGTTTCCCAGGCAGTGGCCCCTAATTGTGGAATGCAAGCCATGACTTTTTTTTTTTTTTTTTTCTTTTTGAAACAGAGTCTCACTCTGTTGCCCAGGCTAGAGTGAGTGCCGTGGCGTCAGCCTTGCTCACAGCAACCTCAGACTCCTGGGCTCAAGTGATCCTCCTGCCTCAGCCTCCCGAGTAGCTGGGATTACAGGCATGCGCCACCATGCCCGGCTAATTTTTTCTATTTTTAGTTGTTTTGGCTAATTTCTTTGTATTTATAGTAGAGACGGGGTCTCGCTCTTGCTCAGGCTGGTCTTAAACTCCTGAGCTCAAGCAATCCTTCCGCCTCGGCTTCCCAGGGTGTTGGGATTACAGGCGTGAGCCACTGGGCTTGGCCAAGCCATGATTTTTTTAATGAGGCCTGTTGAGGTATATATAATGTTTCTGCCCAGGCCGTCTTAGGCCCCTGAAATAGTGAGCGCCGGCCCTACCTTCCCTCTAGGAAGCTCCTGAGTTTAAAAGGCAGCAGGATGCTCAGACAGGGTCCCCAAACTGCGCCGTGTATGTGGAACGTTTCTGTTTGACAAGTTAGAGTGATCAGTGTATAAAGAACGCACCAAAATTCCACCGGCCCCTCGACCCGCACCCCCAGGCAGACAGCTTCTCCTGGCTCCAGGAACCATGCCCTTGAGCAAGGCCCTGCGTGGTGGAGCCTCAGTTTCCCCAGCTCTAAAGTGGATGTGATACTCCCTGTCATGCCTCCACGTACGGCTGTCACACGAGCTAACAGATGTGCGATGGCTCACAAGCCCAAGGCCTCTACAAATCCCAGGGTATTTTTTGTTTTTTATTGTTAACAGTTACACTCTCTCCCTCTGGGAAGGAAGATACATCTTCGCCAGGGCTGCAGGGTTCGAAGCTCTTTCTGAGGATAGCAGAGAGGAGCTTGCTTCGTTCTTAGGCAAAAAGAAAAAAAAAATAGAAAAAATAGGGCAGACAGAGATAGACTTTGTTTTCCTGTTCCCCAGAGAGCCAGAGGCCGAACACACAGCGCGTGCCGCCTCTCCAAGAGGACGGAGGGGCTGCCTGCCAAGGTGGAGGGTCCTCGGAGGGACAGGGAGGCACAGGCGCAGCGTGGAGGGGTGCCGAGGAGAAGGCAGAGGCCGCGGCGAGTAGGGACGTGGGGTTACAGGCCGGGAGCAGGGGAGCTGGCGGGCGGGAGCCGGCCGGGTCACAGGCGGTTCCGGAACTGGCAGGGCGCAGTGGGGTTTTGGATGGAGCCTGGCATCCCTCGTTCAAGCTCGGGGGTCCTCGCCCACGTCCCCAGCCTCCAGAAGCCAAGGGGCAGGGCAAGGCACGCCGGCTGCAGCTCTGCCCCGGGAGAGGCCGGCGGGCGGCACTGCTCGGCGGGGAGGCAGCTGGCCACACACGCACACGCCTGTGGCTGCTGCTGAGACGACCTACAGGTAGCTGCACACCTGGGCCGCACCCAGGTGCTCGGTGCTGACGGCGCCTGGTCCCCTGCAGAGCCCGGGTGGCATCTTCCCTGCTCCCAGCACCCGGCCGTCTGCGGGCGACTTTGGTGTTTGCAAGGCCCAGGATGGAGGACGGGGCGCCCGGCCCCGCGGCGCCGGTCTGGAGGGCCCGGCACCCTCTCTCCGGCTGCAGTGAGGCCTGGAGGGCTCGGGGGTGCCTGGAGACGGCTCTGCCGGGACGGGAGGTGGCGGCTCTGGCAGTGCCTGGGGGGGTGTGTGGACGGCTCCGGCCAGCTTGAGCCTTTTGCACATTTCCGTTAGAAAAAGGGCCGTCGAGTCTGCGTTGGCGCGGCGTTAATGCAGACACGCCCCCGCATTTCTCCTCTCCTGCTGGCACCGACTCGGCCGTTGTGTGTCCAGACAGGAACCTCGGTTTCCTTAGGGACACGTGTGACGAGAGGCGGGACGAGGCCGTCACTGTCCTAACAAGCTGTGTCTCAGGATTTGGGGAAAGGCCCAGGGGGTCACAGAGCCCCACTGCCCCAGGGCCGGCCCAGCGTGACCTTGGGCCAGTGACTTCCCTTCTCTGTGACTCGGTCTCCTCACCGTGAGCCGGGCTGTGACGGAACCCACCTCGTGGGCCCGTTACACGGGTTTGCGCTGCGGTCACGGCTGGGGCAGGGCTGTGCTTTGCTGCGGTCATCGCGCTCCGCCCTCCCTGCGTTTTGTCATTTTGTCATCTCTGCTTTACAGATGGGGAAACTGAGGCTCAGAGAAGTCAGGAGCAGGCCAAGGCCACGCAGGTAGTAACTGGCAGAGGGGTGACATCCATGTGGCGTGTCAGGCCATGTCAGCGCCCCCCCCCCCGTGTCATCCACCCACAGACGACCCTCCGCCGTCACCTGCTCCCTCCTCCTCTGATCCGTGTTCACCTGCTTCCGGCTCCCAAGACGTGCTCCAGGGGACGCTGCTGGGTCACCGGGTCACGGAGGGAAACAAAGACATCCAGCCGGGCACCCGCCACCCCCGACTCCTGGCCCACTTTACACGCACACGCGGGCACACGCACAGATGAACACATTCACACACGTGATCACACGTGCCTGCAGACACGAATGCATGCACGAACACATGTATGCACAACATGCATGCCTGTACACACATGTACACACACTAGCAAATGCGCGCACGCACGCGCACGCTTACCCCTGCACACACAGCACACGCTCGGGAAGCCCCCTCCCAGGAGGGTTCCAGCTTAGTCAAGAAAACCCGCCTCCCTCTGTTCGTCCTGCCAGCCCTGCGGCCGTGCCCTCAGACTGTGTGCGTGACCTCCCCACGGCGGCCCCTCACGCTGGGGCAACCTCCTCTGCCAGGGGCGGGAGGGAGGCCCCATTCCCGGGCAGCCTCTCTCTGCCTCACGCGGTCCACGCGCAGACATCCCGCGGGGCAGGCATCGCAGCCCCACTGCACAGAGCGGCAAACTGAGGCTCAGCTGGCTAAGAGGGCTGCCCCAGGCTCACACGGCTGGCAAGGGGCGGAATGGGACTAGGACTGGGGCACTGAGCCGGGCCCTGGACGCACAGCGAGACGGGCCGTTAGGGGTGTGTGTGTGGGGGGTACACTGGTGGGGAGGGGAGGGTAGGCCGGGCAGGGACCGTAGACAGGAAAATAAACGACAGCCACACCAGCTCCCGTGCCCAGGAGCCAGGATGGAGGGAAGCGGGGAGGCCGCTCAGGGTGACGCTGTGGCCAAGACCCTGAGGACGAGGCCCAGAGGCGTGTGTGCCCCGCCCCAGGGGCCCACACCTGACAGCAGCCGGGAGGCGCTGAGCCCGGGGCTGTTTCCCCAGCAGCCCCTTGGCCTGCGGGACTGGCCGACCTTCCCTGACTGTGCAAACACACAGTTAGCAGATGTGGCCTTTAAAGTTTCCCAGTCAGCCCTCTCCCCAGGTATTAAAAATGCCAGGAGCCAAGAAGCCGCCTGCCCTGCCCCCAGCATTCCTCTGGGACAGCTCTGCTGACACGGCAGTTTCCCAGGGCCTGGTGAGGGCCCAGCGTCTCTGGCTGCCCAGGATGATTTTCCTATTAACCCTTGGCCCGCGAGCCCTGGAATGTCACCGGGGTTCCTGAGAGCCGGCCCTTTGCTCTCCTTCCATCTATTTATAATGCATGGCCTTGCTCGGTGATAAGAGGAAGCCCAGTTTTATTTACATGTCAGCACCCCGGAGGGTGGAGGTGACCACCGGGCACCTTTGTCCCTGGGCCGACTCTGGGCCCTGCTGGCAGGTCAGGACGGCTGTAAACTGCTCAGAAATCAGAGACTCGCGGAGTTTTGAAGCTGGAAGGGGTGTCATTTCACAGACTGGGAAATTCGAGGTTCAGAGATGCCTGGATTGTGCAGTGCCAGGGGTGGGGGTCCAGGGGTCCAGGCCTTGTTCCCTGCTTTGGGGGGGGGACACCAGTCTCCATGAGCAGACGGGTGGTGACGCGGACCAGACGTCTGCCTAATGAGGCTGCACATCCCGCTAGTCAAGAGCAGGGCCCTGGCACCCCACTACCTGGGTCTGAACCCCACTTGGCCACTTCAAATAAGTAACTTAAGGCTGAGCACCACCTCCCTGCTGTCTGTAAAACGGGGCTGATCCTGGCGGCCCAGAGAGTTACCAGGAGGCGTAATTGATCTGAAATATATAAAGTGCTCAGAACGGTGCCTGGCACCCTGCAAGTCTGTTAAATAAATACAATGTATCCATACACAGTACAGGGAAACAGTTGCAGCTCCTATTTAACAAAAGAGTGACAGGGCTCAGAGAGGTTGAGTCACTTGCCCGGGGATACACAGGATTCTCGCTACTTCCTTCTGCTTGTGAGCAGCGGCCGATGGCCAGCGGTGCCAGGGACAGGGCAGGCCCCGGCCTCTGTCCCCACTGACCTGTTCCAGGAGACAGGAGACAGCCCCTCTTCCCTCTGTCTCCAAAATCAGAACGCTGTCCCAGGAAGGGCGCCCCCAACCCTGGGCTGCGCGGGACTGTAAACGGCTCTCACTTGGTCCCCCCTTTAGACCGAGGCGGGGGCGGGCCCCCCGCAGTGAAAGCCGCAGGGTGCCTCCTCCGCAGCGGCCCTGCCCCCGCGCTGCCCTTCCTGGGGGGGGGCTCTGTCCCCAGCCACACCGCCGCGTCCTTACCTGGCTCTTCCCGCGTCCCGCTTGACCTTTACTTAAAGACCAGCTCCGGCGCTGATGCGCTCGGCGGTCCCCCAGGAGACCCTTCAGACGGCCCGAGCCCGGCGCGCTGGAGAGAGCCCCTAATTGGGGCAATGAATCATCGCGCGCCGCTCCGGCTGGACACAAAATAGATAGAGGAGCCGGCGCGCTATTGTGCGCAGTTTGGGACGCGGGGGAGGGGAGGAGGGGGAGGAGGAAGGAGAGGAGGGCGGGCCAGGGAGGGAGCGCGCGAGGAGGGATTCCCCGCCCGCGCCTCCGCCTCCCGCCCCGCCCCCCCCCCGCGCGCCGCCCGCCCCCTCCTCCCAATTAATGACCCAACGCTCTGGCAGGCGCCGGAGCTCGCACATGCGGCTGCCGCTCCAGCCGCCCGGCCGCGCGCCGCCGCGCCGCGTTCCGGCGCGCTCGCCGTGGCGCCGCTCGGCCTGCGCCGCCGCCGGGGCTGGGCAGCCCGGGGCGCCCGGTGCAGGCGGGCGCCAAACTTTGCGGCGCGCACACATGCTCCAAGTTGCGCGCGGCGGCGCGGGCGGCGCTGAGGCGGCCGGGGCGCGGGGCCGGCGGGGCGCGCGGGGCCCGGGCGGGGCGGCGCGGCCATGAGCGGGCGGCCGGCGCCGGTCTCCCGCAAGCAGCGGCTCATGGCAGCCGTGGGCGAGCGGGCGGCGGGCGGCGGCGCGCCGCTGTCGTGCTTCATCTGCGGCGGCGGCATCGGGCGCGGCAAGGAGCTGAAGCTGCAGGTGAAGCAGCCGGCGGCGGGCGCGGGGGCCCCGGCGCAGCCCTTCTTCCCCTTCCTGCAGCAGCAGGAGCCGGCGCCCGGCGCGCGCGAGCTGTCGCCGGCCGACGGCTGCGTGCTGGTGTGCGCCGTGTGCCGCTGCTTCCTGGGCGAGCAGTGGGCCGCCTTCGAGCGCGCCCGCACGCCGGTGGACAAGCGCATGTACTGGCTCAAGCGGCCCCACCAGTGCGACGCGGGCGCGGGTGGGCGCCGCGGGGGCGCCGGGGCCCCCCGCGAGTGGAACGTTGCCTACGCGCTGGGCAGCGCCGCCGGCGACGACGACGACGACGACGACGCAGGCGGCCCCCGGCTCCGCGGGGCCGCCGAGGAGACCCGGGACTCTGACTTGTCGGAGCTGTCGGACACGGATCCCCTGTCGGAGCCCGACCCAGCCTCACGCGACGCCGCCAGCCCCCCCCAGGACCCGGCGCCGGCGCCGCGGGCCACCCCGGGCCCAGGACCAGGGCCTCCTCGCGGGGGCCGCTGCCAGGAGTGGAGGCCGGCGCCGGGACCCTCTCCTGGACCGGGCGCGGAGCCCCCCGCGCGGGGGCGCGCGGAGGAGGAGGGGGTCCCCTCGAAGGTCTGCGCGGACGGGGAGCCCAAGACCAGCGTCCGGCGCCGGCGGAAGGGGGTCGGGAGGCCCTGGGCCTCGGAGGCCCGGGCCAGCGTCCTGAGGGGCATCCAGGACCCTTGGCAAGGCCTGCCTGTCCAGGAAGCCCCTGCAGATGGCTTGAAAGGAGGGCCCTTGGGCCGGGCCACCGAGCCGGGGCAGGGCAGGCCGCTGGGGCACACTCTCGGGGACTTTTGCACGTCCGAGGACAGCGACATCAACATCACCAGCGGGGAGGAGGACCACAAGGAGCAGCCTTTCCCGGGCCCCTGTGGCCCCAGAGAGAAGGAGGACGGTGGCCGCGTGCCCCGGGACCCCCCGGAGAGCCGGGCGCCGCAAACCGAAGGCCGGTGCTGCTACATCTGCGGGTCGGCGCTGTCCGCGGCCTCGCGGCGCCAGGTCCACGTGCAGAAGCAGGAGCGGCTGGCCCAGGCGCCCTTCTTCCCCTTCCTGTGGCTGCACAGCCCGCCGCCGGGCGCGGAGCCCATCAGCGAGGGCGGCAGCACGCTGGTGTGCGCCTGCTGCTTCTCCTCGCTCATGCAGCAGTGGCGGAGCTTCGAGCTGGCCGGCGTGCCCGTCCTGCAGCGCCTCTACGTGGTGCCGCTCAACAGCCGCGCGCCCGGCATGGCCTCCAAGGGCCGGCGGCTGCCCCGGGAGGAGGGCGCGCCCGCGGCCCTGCGCGAGGCCTGCTACCTCTGCGGCGAGGACTGCACCCAGGACGCGCGCGCCGTGCCCTCCAGGCTGCTCAACGGCAGCGGCCGCGGCGCCATGCACTTCCCCTTCCTCAGCCTGCTGCCCTGCCCGCCCAACGCGCGCGGCCCCGACGCGCGCTGCGAGGTGCGCAGCTGCCCCAAGTGCTTCAGCGTGCTGGAGGACGTGTGGGCCCTGTACCGCGCCTGCCGCAACGAGGCCCTCATCACCTCCGTGCAGGGCTTCCTGGGCCGCTACCACCAGGCCTTCTCCGCCTCGGACCCCGCGCGCTCCGAGCCGCCCGCGCCCGCCCGCGGTGGCCCCGCGTCCGTGTGCTACGTCTGCGGGGCCGAGCTGGGCCCCGGGAAGGAGTTCCAGCTCCACGTGAACCCCGCAAGCCACGCGGGCGAGAAGGAGCCCTTCTTCCCATTCCTCACCGTGTACCCGCCCGCCCCCCGCGCCAGGCCCGTGGATGCCACCGGCCTGGTGGCCGCCTGCGTGCTCTGCTACCACGACCTGCTGGGCCAGTGGCTGCAGCACGAGGCCCGGGGCGCCCAGCACGCCGTGAGCGCCTGGTCTCGGCAGTACCAGGTGGAGACCTTCGTGTGCTTCTTCTGCCAGCAGGAGAAGAAGCGTTGCCTGGGGCTGACGCCTGTGCGGGTGGCGCGGCTGCCCTTGTTCCTCTACACCCTGCGAGCCAGCCACAGCCTGCTGGTGGACGACGGGCAGCAGCTCACCATCGGCGCCTGCGTGGAGTGCGGAACGCTGGTGTGCGCGGGCCAGGGGCTCACCCGCCAGGGACCGGTGGGCTGGAGCTCCCCGGCGGCGGCAGCGACAAAGGTAAGCAGCGGCTTTCATCTCGTCTTGGACCCTTCCTCTGGCATCCGTGCAGGGAAGGGAGAGGTGCTGTTTTCCGTCCCTCTGAGAAACTCGGAAGGAGTTTTTACAGGTTCTCTCTGTGCGGCACCTTCCCGGGGGAGGAGCCTTCCCAGGGTGCCCGGGCTTGGTGCTTGGTGGGCACGGTGGCCCGGCTGGCCCCGGAGGTGTGGGGCGGGCGGCCAGAGGAGCTGGGGTCAGGACTGGTCTCCTGGAAGAATAGGCCGCCGCTGAGAGCGGCAGGCACGGGCCTGAACTTGGGCGTGTTTGCGCGGAATCCGTCAAACAGAGGAAGTTGGGGGCATGTCTGTCATCCGCCTGATAACGCCGGTGATTAGTGCAGCCCGGCGGGTCACGGAGAGGTCTCCGCGCGCACCCGGTTGGAGCACACCAGAGGTGGGAAGTCGCTCTGCCCTCCTGCTCCGCGTGGCTCGGCGCCTCCACAGCTTTCCACCCGAGTCCGCGCTTTGCCTGTGAGACCCGGCTGCTTAGCGGCAGATGGGAGCCGCCTTCCAGACGGGGGGTGTGTGGAGCCGCGGGGACGGCGGCCTAGGCAGACTGTGCCCGCAGCGGGGAGAGACTGTCTTCTCTGCACACCGGCCGTGCAGGGCCGGCCGGGCTCTGGATCCCGCTTTGCAGGGCCCGAGCAGGAGCCGCCCCCGGGCCGCCCCGGCCACGGCGGCCGTTTCAGTCCAGTGCCCATCGTGGGGGCGGCCAGCCGGGCGGATGGGGAAGGCGTCCCCGTCCTGTTCAGGACTGGCACGAGAGCTTCCTGACCCTGCCGGCCACGTGCGTGCGTGCATGTGTGTGCGGGCGCGTGTGCGGGACTACCGGGCGGCGTGCTCACCCACGGTGGCCGCGTCCGAGAGGGGGGCTCCCTGCCCGAGCCCTCGTGCCTTGCTGTCTCTGCCGCCACCAGCCTTGGACTTGTCACGGCCTCTGGGGCTGTCCCTGGGCCGCGGCTGGGGGTCGGAGGAGCTGCAGCCCCGGCCAGGCCGGCTGGGAGACGAGGCCCCGGGCTTGGAGCAGGACAGAGCCGGTGCCCGTGCCGCCGCGTCTCTGGGTAGCCGTGCCTGCGAGTCTCCCTGGCCAGGAAGCACAGACCGCCCGCCCGGCGAGAGCTCACGCACCGGGGGCTTCAGTGCTCTCGGGAGGCCAGGGCTTGGCACGCAGCGGGGCCCTCGCGTGGGACGCGGCCCGCAGGTCCTCGCAGGGCGTGGGGTTGCCGTGCGCCAGCCCCTGGTCTGCAGGCCGGCGCCCCTCTGCGGGGCTCTCGCTGTTTCCGGCAGAACACCTCATGAGGTTTCCTCGTGTCCCTCTGCTCCCATGTCTGGGGGCGCCCAGGTGCCCACTGGGGCCTCGACTGGTAGAACTGGGGGAAATTGGCTCCCCACGTCGGCCGGGGAAGGGGCGTTGAGACAGGCCGGTGCCCCCCCGAAGTGGTCAGCGCGAGTTTGGGAGGGCTCATGGCCCGTGGACTTCTGCGCGGTTTTCGGAACCAAGTTACCTCATTGGCTTCTCCCCGTGGCCCCCTGGGGCCGCCTTGTTCCCATTTTACAGACGGGTCAGTTGAGACTCAGAGAACTCAGACGACCTTGGTGACCGCCACACGCTGGGAGGCGGCTGAGGTGTGTTCTGCCCGCCCCAGGGGTGGGCTGAGGGAGGCCGGGCTTGCCGAGCCTTGGCCCGCGGGAAGCCTTTGCGGGATGGGGCATGGCAGAGGACAGGGCAGAGCCTGGCAGCCTCCCTGGGCAGAGGTGCCTGTCGGGGGGCCGGAGGGGCGGGAGCTCGAAGCCTTGGAACCAGGACAGAGGGGGGAGGTCGGACCTGGCGTGGGAGGCCCCGGGAGCCATGACGGCTTCTTGAGAGAAAGCGTGGGAGGGCGGGGAATGGGCCCACTGGGGCCGGCCGGGCGGTGGCGGGGCCCTGGGACAGGCCTGCCCTGGGGAGGGGCCGCGGTGAGGGGCCAGGCCCCGCCGGACGGAGGGAAAAGCGAAGCCTCCACTCGCGGCTCCCAGGAGCCTGCGCTGACAGCCAGGAGGACGCCGGCTCTTGGCCTCTGGCCTGCCCGGCCCCCCCTCCCATTCATTCAGCAGATATTTATGGAGCGCCTGCTCTGAGCCAGGCGCTGTTCCAGACTCGGGGGAGCGGAGAAAAGGCCAAGACACAAAACTCAGGGCCACGGGGGGTGGGGGGTGGAGTGGCGGACACCTGGGCATGGGGGGTGAGAGGGCACCCC